CATCTCTTTAACGCGTTTAGCAGTGTCGCCTCCAAAAGAAATTCGTCAGCTGGACTCGTAGTACTACAAAGCCCCTTGGCAAATTCCGCTTTAAATTGAGGTCTGATAGCATCCCGTCGTCGTTGATTGATCTCATAATTAGCAGTCATTGCCAGTGTGAGGCCATCTAAACAACTGTTTAGAACATCTTTGGACACATTAGCCGACAGCAAGGAATTAGTTGCTTCAAGCTGGCAATTAATAGAACCTAACAATGCAGCTTGTGTTGACTGAAATTTAATGTCTGTAACGCGTGCCTTGCCAGGAATTTCATTCCAAATACTTGGTTCACATTTAGGCAGGCGTAATTGAACATTTTCGGGTGTATTATGACGTTTGGCTATCGCTTTAGCTTGATCTTGGCTTACTCTTTGCAGTCGCAATTTATTAACCAAATCGCCAATTTTCTGACTAATTGCTGGCCCTTTAACATCAACGTTAAGATCTAATTGTTGCTCATATTGCAAAATTTCAGCTTCATTTGCATTGATTAGTGATGTCGGCACTAACACGGTCAACTTGTCCGCCTGATTGAATTAAACTATCAATGTCCGCCTGAATATCGACATTTTCTGGATTCTCAACATGGTCGTCAGTTGGCTGAGAATCTGTTTCAACATCATCTTCCTGATATTGCTCAGTAAAGCTTGTAAAATTTTCGTTTAAGCGATTCAAACTCATTAAAATCGCGCGGTTCACTGCACTTTGATCAATACTTTCATCAATAGTGCTATCTAAGTCAAGATCGCTCACTGGCAGATCTATAGGCCTTGAACTTTGCTCTGCACATATGCTCACACTGGAGACATTGGCCTTCGACATGGTCTAGGAGAGAAACGTAAAAACTACATTACTATAGTATATTTTAAAAGACACACCTAGATTTCGTAATCGCTCCGACCATGTCCATATAATGAATGCCGTACAAGGTCATTCCAGGTAAAAATAAGCGGAATTCGTACAGAATACGCTGCACCTAAACTGATATTTCATCCAAACTTATACTTACCTAACTCTCGTCGAAAACCAACACTTGAACTGGAACTCGAAAATCGACGTCTACTCCCAACGGTTGATCCTTGTTCAATGATGTGATGTCACTCCCGGTGAGCCTGCGTTCGTTCTTCATGTCAGTCCGTAGGTTACGACTTATGGGATAGAATTCTGTATTATTCACGTTCTTTGCAGATTTTGTATTTGATTTTGTTCTCCTCCTGGAGGATTTTGGTTGACGGATGGGTATATTCTTTATCCCGCTTTTATTCCACTTTGACTGCTGTTTACTGTTCCCAATTAATCTGTACAACTCTGCTAAAACATTTTCTAAGTCTAAAGCTGTTGGCTTAGCACGAATAAGATAAGGTTGTCTTTCTTGGGACGAAAGTTCATGGACGTCTGCCAAATGGTTTGCCAGTCTTTTTAAAGCTCGCTTGCCACAGATGGTACTGAAAATTCCGAGCTCTTCTTAATGACTGTTTCGGACATTTGGTTGCGTTACCTGTCACATTTGGCCCAGGCTTGCCCGCGTTAACTGGTCGCGCTACCTGGCGTTATAGATTTTGCAAGCTCATTATAAATACTATAAATTCCGCCAAGAGTGTTAGCTGAACAAAGTGACGTCATAGATTTTGGAAGCTCATTATAAAATCCGCCAGATAGGGGTCTTTTACTACTTAGGCATGTTTCCACTTGTAGGGAAATTTTTTAAGGCATTTTGGTTCACCTTTTTGTTCACCATACAATTCGTATAGCTATTGAGTCGACAGTACTCGAGTGAAGTCATTGACACGATTCGACCAGATAGTGAAATGACTCGTGACTAGCTCGATCTTTGAGTGACTCGACTCGTTGCTCGACCTGTTGGTGACTCGTTACAACACTGCCACTAACAATCGACGTGACATATAAATATGAGTAATCATGCTTTGAATAGGCATGGCGGTGCTTATTTGCCACAAGAATATATTAGCCAACCATGTTGCTTTATTTTGCTCACATGATAATTCTGGATACCTGATGAAATATATTGATCCAGTCCTAGGACTAGGACAAAATTAATTCAGTCCTTGGACTGGATCAAAATTAATTAAGTAGTGATTTATTCGTATGAGATGTTATTTCAAATCCTCCAATTCGGACTGTACTAGACTTCAAATCCTCGCATTTTGATTCAGTCCTCGGCTTCGCCTCGGGCTTTATCAAATTGCGCGGACTTGAAATCTAGTCCAGTCCTCGTAGTCGGAAATATTATCCACTTAATGTCTGCTCCCGAGGGAAATAGTTAGTGAACAGGCATTAAGTGTTTTAATGTTATATAGCGACGAACAAAAATCAACTTCAACAACATTCATACAACAATTGTATTTCGTGACAAAAACTCTATAGTGTAAACGAGTTTAAAATTAAAAGAACCTACTTAAACGGTTTCAGCATAGGCAGCCCAATGTTATGGTTGCCTGCCTGCCTGCGCGCGGGCGAGGCATTGTATAGTTGTATTTAGTTTCCTATTATAGTTGTATTATTTCCTATATTAGTATAGTTGTATTATTTCCTAGGAAATAATACAACTATACAATGCCTCGCCCGCGCGCAGGCAGGCAACCATAACATTGGGCTGCCTATGGTTTCAGCAGCATATCCTGTTGCCTGTTGTGTATTTTTCTTCTCTTTTATATTCTTTATTTGAACACAAACTTGGAAAATCGTAGTTTCTAATTATCTGAGTTGTGCCTCCATTTTGTTTATTTATGTACGTGGCCGGTCGGGGCCGGCAACAATTTTTCACTTGATGCCCGGCGGGAAACATTGCATTTATCTGAAGTCACGTGACCCCAAATCAGCCAATCACGTTTGGTGTTCACGCTAGCTATATAACAATACATCTTGTTGGCAGATGACGTCATCCCATAGGTATACAAGAAGCCACGTTGCGACTTCAGATCATCCCTGATGAAGACACTAGATTGGAGTGTGGAAACATTGGGCTTTGCATTCATTTATTAATTAAAACCAGAGATCGAAATCATGACTGAACTTATTAGTCTTTTATATTGCACCAGAACACGGTTGCCAGAAGTGATCACTGGTCTACTATTACTGATCAGTGTTAGTGACCAGCTTCTGAACTGAGCCTAAATTAGTTGAGAACAATAAATGCTACAAATCTCAAGACAGAACAAGATCGATAAAACTGAAATATTTTGATCAGCGAACTATCAGTCTTCCAACCTTGAGTATTGAAGGAGACCACGTCATGACAAAGAAACACCCTATGTCGACTTGGCAACCAGTAAAATTAAAAGAAGAGATTTCCCCAGATCATACCTGGTCACAGATTTTCGGACAAAATCATTCCATTTAATGAACGTTATTGGGCTTTTTTTTGTGTGTGTGTGTTTTTTGTGTGTGTGTTTCCGGTACAGCGCTCTAACCAACTAAGCTACAGAGTCCAGTTGTCGAGCTAGAGAACCACAAGTTCATATATACTAGGGTACTGCCATGTTAGGTTATGGGTAAATATCAAGTTTTTGTTGGCATCTTTCTCGATTGAATAATATTTGAATTATAGGGTCTTGTAGATGCAAATTATCATTGGAGCCCCGTTACATGTAATGGAGAACTATCTTTGTGTGGAATTTCCAGTCATTTGTAGTCATTTCCGGCACGTGACACGGTTTTGACCGATCGGCAAACAGAACAATTAACAAATACATTTATTAGCAAGATATATTTACAAGACCCTTCGACTATATTATTCAATCGAGTGAGATGCAGTGGCGTGCTGGGTACTATTTTTCTGGGGGGGCCAGTTGGCTGTCAACCAATCTGCGCCCCTATAATTTTACGCTTGATAAACGAGGGCCGAAGGCACGAGCCGAGCGCCGCAGGTGCGAGGTTTGTCTAGGGGGTCCGGGGCATGCCCCCCAGGAAAATTTTTGAATTTAGAGTCTTTGAAATGCCATTTCCTGGACTTTGGGGGAAGATTTGACAGAAATCTGATGGTCAGGAAACGGCATTATAACGTATCGAAATTTGCAATTTGGTTAGAATTTAGTAGTAGTACTTAAATTGGGCAATGCTAACTACTTCCAGCTATTAATCTAACCCCAATTCTATTCTCTACTGATCTAGTGATCTGAATATATTTACAACTTACATCTCTTTTATATAAGAACACACGGACCCCACGCATATGCATTTTAAGATTTCCTTGCCTGGCTGCCAAAAGGGCGCGCGCGTTTCAGCATTATTTCATTACTTACATTACTCATGATGTTTCTTGCGCAAACAACTAAATTGCGTACACAAATTTACATTCATCATAACTTCAATTATCTAATTTGCGCTGCTCTCGTGGTTCGTGAAGCATAATAAAGGGCGTAATATAAGGGCATAATGCCAGGAAAAAAGGGCATAATGCCAGGAAAAAAGGGCATAATTCCCGTGATCCCTTCGAAACCTGACCAATATTCCGGTAATGAGGCATTGCGTGTGATCACTGATCATGTTTCTATATGAACGATTTCGTGTGAGCCGTGAGGTAGCAAATTAGCAAATACGGTGAGACAAAATAGTCTATAATTTAATATATCACTTTGTCGCCTATATTATTAGTCTGTTTATAAGCCTATAAACACATCTCTTCAGTTTCTTGGCGGAAGTAACTATATTTTTTCGAATTTCGCATTTTTTTCCACCCACATTCAAAATTCAGGGCGGGATCGGCGCCCCCTTTTCATTTTTGCGCCCCCCAAGAATTGCCAGCTGGGGGGGCCGTGGCCCCCCGGCTCCCCCTGCCAGCACGCCACTGGTGAGATGCCAACAAAATCTTGATATTTATCCATACCCTAACATGGCGATGGCAGTACGTACCCTAGTATTACCCATACCCTAACATGGCGATGGCATTACTCCAGTATATATACATGAACTTGTGGTTGGAGCTCGACAACTGGACTCAGTTGTAGCTCACTTGGTTAGAGCGCTGCACCGGAATCGTAGGGCCGAAGATTAGATTCGCGTGCTGGGGACATTTTTCGCAGCTGTTTCTGATTAGGTCCAATATATAAATTTCTGCTCGATAATTTCCATCTACAAGACCCTTCAACTATAATGCTAGATGCCAACAAAATCTTAGTATTTTATAAGTTATAATTTAATTTGCTTGGTAATTGCACATTTGTGGTTTTGGCACTGTACAAATGGATTTAGAACTGCACGTTTTTCACCCCTCTCCAATTTTTCATTGAACTACTATTTGAACGAATCTGAAACTATATACTCTGAAACTAACATTCGTGGTGGTGGCGGCCGCCCCCCTTGGAGGTGCCCACTGGGTATAGAAAAACCAGTCAGCACTTAACAGGGTTACCATTGAAAATATTCAGGAAACTACCAGTACTCCAAGTTTTAAAAACGTGCAAGTTGTTACAGACTTGTAAATTAAATTAAATTGTTATATCAGGATATACTAAAACTGTCTGTACCAGTGTAGGTAGTACCTGTGGCAGTACCAATGTGAAAATGCTGTGCTGAGTGGTTATATTACTACCTTAAAAAACAAGCAGAAACTCGACGTATCGAGCGAAGGCCCTTTCGTCAAGAGTTAGTAGCAGGGTCGGGGAAAAATGCACGGGCTTTTATACTAAGAGTATGAAAGCATCACGTGACAAAAAAATAAACCAATTAGATGGATTTAATCATAACAAAGTGTAAACAAAATATGTAAATCGCATTACAGAATTTAAGCCCCGTTTACACGAGCAAATTTTCTTTGACAAATTTCATATGACAAATGCATTTGATCAAAAGCTAGCATGCTAGCTTTTGTTCAAATGCATTTGTCACAATAAATTTGTCACAAATGCATCATCCACACGAGCAAAATATCTTTGACATATGAAATTTGTCAAATAAAGTTTGCTCGTGTAAACGGGGCTTAATACAATTAAAAATATACAGGAAGCTAAGACAATTACTACAAAAAATAATAATCAAAACAAACACGAGTGGGAATAAGGTTAAAGTAATAAATAGATGTTGTCAATGTCTGCTATAGACAGGCAAGGACAGATGGCATCATAGACAATCCAGAAGACATGTCTCCTGGATTGTCTATGATGGCATTAAACATAAGAAAAGCGTTCATTAATACCAGAATGGTGAACAGTGCCAAGTTTGGATATGAGGCGCGTTTCATGTCGTTTGCGGCTATCGTTGCTTCCAGAAATGGGGCAGAGGGCTCGAATTACCATATCTGAAACACTGTGATTGCCATTATTGAAATATCTGGCAACAGGTTGGTTAGTATCATTGCCAATAACTGCACGCCGATGCTCACCAAACCTTGTCCTTAAAGCCTGGTTTCCATTAAATCGTAATTATCGCAAAAACCGCATCGCAAGCGTCGCAACGATTTAAAACTGCGATTTATTGGAAACTTGAGTCACACCGATCACTAAGACTCTTACGACAAAGTCGCAAAGATAGAATTACTGCGATTTTTACGATAGCGATGTCTGCGTTCCGCGACTATTGCGATGATTACGATTTAATGGAAACCAGGCTTTAAACATCTTCCAGTTTCCCCAATGTAAAGCATGCCACATCTACTGCAGGAGATGCAGTGGATGAGGTGGGAGGAGGCGCACGTGAAATGGTGCTTGAGGCGCACGTGAAATGGTGCTTAATAATAATAATGTGAATATATATAAGTATATCAGGATATACGTGTGATCCCACTGTTTGTTCCCAGTTGTTTCGACAAGTCTGGAACAAGTTGTTATCACCATGCATGTTTTTTTTGGTGTTTTTTTTATTAACTTAACAATCGCACGATTGATGGAAAGGACAACAGAAACATTAAGTCCCACCAAAACATTTACAAAAATTACACTGAACATTTATATAACAATACATAAAGTACAATCACAATATATCATGAACTGTGACTATACATTCCTGGTACATATTTACGAACAACAGTTTGTTTGCAACGAACGGCACTTGCTACACAGAGTTTTCCACGTTCTAGGTCTATCATCGAAGACAGTGTTCAGTTTATTGGTATAATATATATATAGTTTAGTCTTAAGGATAGCAACTGAAGAGGACGCTTTTATACCGGGGGGGGGGAGGTGGGGGGGGAGGGTGAATAGGTTTTCGGATCGTCGGATTTCACAGAAAAAATTGTTCGGATTTCGGATCTGGGAGGTATTTTACACGGACTTGCGGATCTTCTTAATACAGCGGATTGCGGATTTATCTAATATTTTGGCTCGGATTGTGGATTTAGCCCGCAATTTAGTTCGGATCCTGGATTGTGACTTCATAGTAGAGTTTTTAGCGGATCCAAATTTAGACAAGCCCATTGTCGGATCGCGGGTTTTGCTTCAAATTTGGGCGGATCGGCGGATTTGTATACTCCTATTTACACTCCCCTATACCAGAAGGTAAATTATTCCATAAAATACAATTCAATTAAAATACGAGTCTCTAAAGAGAGAAGTTTTACACAAATTTGGACGAATTAATTTACAAGGCTAATTAACAAGGTTACTATTAACAACGGCAAAGTAACCGACATGCAGACATGCTACAAGTTATAGTCCAACAAGACTAATACAGGCTGTTCGTAATTCGTTTGTTGGCCTCATCAACCGTTCTTAATTAATTAAACAACTTGTTGTAGACTTATCAAGAACTGGGAACAATACACCCTTTCTATAATTACGTCACAACTATACACTGTTTTCAACTTTATAGGACCCGGCTTACTGAATGGAAAGGATTTCAAGTTTTTTCTCTCATGCGCTATGCACAGAGAACTAGAACATCCTTCTTCAACACATGCCTGACAAAGAGGCAGCCTCGTTTTCGTGTTAATGCTTATTTCCATATTTATTGATCAAAATGCAAAACCTTTTTCGCGCAGTTGAAGAAGGATGTTCTGCTTCTCTGTGCATAGCCCATGAGAAAAAAACTTGAAATCGCTTTCCATTGAAAATCGTCCTAAGTTGAAAACAGTGTAGTTGTGACGTAATTATCGAAAGGGTGTATTATTAAGCAGTGCGACTAAACAATGAACATATCTTGTTGATATATAAGCTGTGAGATTCTTAGGCGTGTAAAGCAGCACTATTTTTGATATGACTACGTATGTGAGTAAGTGAGTTATTCAGTCAAGTACATCTAATGCTTAGTTACCTTTGTTTTTATACTATTAACAAGCGTTAAACCAGAGTGGCATTGTGCATGTCATCGGTTAGCGAGTGAGCTGGATAACTGAACCAGAACCAGAGACAGCGTTAGTTGTAAAAATGTACTGGTCACGAGTTTACTAAGTCAAAATCTATACAAAATCAGTCTACAAATTTTTGAAATTGAAAAGTAAAAATTTATAAAATATTCAGCCATTCTAGGGTGAAACGACTCAAAAGAGATATTATCGGTTGTTGTTACCTTGCCAACAAAATCATTATCATTTCAAAGGTAAGCGCTGTCATTTATAAGCCCTTCCACAAAAGGCTCAGTTAAATAGCTATTCATTTTCTTGCAACTTAATCCTTTCCCACCCACAACAGTATTGGTTTGTTTGCTGCGACGAAATTATAGTTTATATTCTAAATAAGTTATCAGGATCACTCGGACTGCTTTTTTGCTGTTAATTGATGTTTATACTGTTCCTTGCAACTGGACAATAGTTTGTTTTACTTTCTTTGCGAAAAAGAGTTAGCTTGCTTTCCTGACAAGTGTGGATTTGTTTCGTCGTTGGGGAAACTGGCGGGTAAACATTCCTGTCTCAAGGAAAGCAACCGACTTGCCCAAAGACGATTAATTTTCAACACTGCTTAGCTGAAAAAGAGAAGAAAACTCTATGAAGTCATCAAAGAGTTCAAAGGGAGATCCTAGTGAGTACTATTATAAAGTTTTCTATATATACGTACTGCTTTATAAAATATAACAACGCGCATATTCAGGATGCAACATCATTCATGCATAACAATATAGAAACATTGCTTTGAAACTCAGTTGATATGAGTTATATGAAAAACGACGTTCGTCATCAATCGAACTGCAATAAAAAAGGTTTTTCATTTTATCATACAATAAAAAGTAAGTATAAAAACTACGTCGCCTAGGGTTTTGAAATTATATTACTGCGGTGGACATTGTATTAGTGAAATTTGATATGATCTTGAAAATGTTAAATGTCTCGTTGAACTTTTTTAATAACAGTATTTTAAATAATCATTTGCTGAAATTACTGTGTAGTAGGAACTCCTGACTCCTGAGCTATAAATTGAAACTTAATTAATTTATGTGAAACCCACTTTTTTCAGAATACAATTTATACAAACAGCAAGCTCACACTAAAACATAGTCAAACTATAATATAAAATTATCCTTTTAAGAACATGATAAACTGTAAATTCGCAATCTTTGGGAGTAAATTATATTAAGATGCAAAAATTATGAGATGCCTAAAAGAACAGACAGTAAGATGCCTAGATAAGCCAAGTGTTTTGTCATTACTTCCATTAGGCATGAAGATGCTCCATGCCCATGGGGTTTGAATATATATACGGGGGCCGGTTCTCCAAAGGCAAAGCTCGGTTGGCGCATTATTTCTGTATGTCTCTTTATTTTATAGGGTCGGCCATGGGGTTTTGGGTATACAGGATCTAATGGGTATTTTATAATTCGAGTATACTGTATATTTACTTAAATGTTGTGACTAATTTTGGGTATTAGGTATACAGCTTCTGGTTGCTTTAGGTATTTTGTAACATTTTGACCGTAATAATAGGTATTTTGATCCATATTTATCAGGTATTTACTAATTTAGGACACCACGACCCCCCTGGCTGACCCCTATTTTAAAACTATACGAAATGAAAGTTCAAATGATCAAGCTCATAGTGTTGGATTGCTGTTGGGAGGTTTGCAGTGTTTGCTTTGACGCTTCATCTTGAACCCAGGATTACGGTCCACAAAGGTTAATTGACTTTTGTAATAGTATTATTTCTCCCTCCACCCAAAAGAGGGAGAAATATAAATACTATTACAAAAGTTAGCGCATGAAATTATTATTGCAGTAAACAGGGATATTTTTCTTTGCTTGCAACAAAGAAAACATTTTTATGAAATTGTTGTGGGGGTATTCAGGAATTATATCCATCAGCTGTTGTGCTTGACCTTTCGTTTTCGATATACCGCGGGTGTTCCCCAACGCTGAAAGAATGTATATTTTAGTGTTCCTGTTCTATCACTATCCAAAGCGTACTTATGTGTGGACCATAAAAAATTGAAAGAAAAATAAAACACGTATAAGATGTACATAATGATGTACATTATGTATGTACTGTAGAGATGTATTGTTGTTTCGTGCGATGCGCCCTCATCGGTTCATCAACACCAATGTTATGCTTTTTTCAATTGATTTTTCAAAAGTGTTTGACGTCATTTTCACGTCAAAAACAGACCCAATAAAGATTTGTCTGCCTGCACCCAAATATGGAACACGAGCTGTTCAGGTTTTAGTCTATTGACCAATCAGAAAACAGCAAGAATCGTGACGTTTCCGTTTATGTACCGGCCACCTTCATCTTGAATTCCCTGCTGCTGGCTTGCGGCGAGTTGATGGCTTGAAAAACAATAATTCACCGAGAAACGACTACAAAGAACACGATCATTTGTGTATGTTTTAAACATACTTTGTTTCAAGTAGCGAAGAAAAATCTCCTTTGCCCCACAGTAATGGGCAATACGACGGGAAAAAAGGGAGATCCAGAGAATGGTAAATGGCGTACATATGTATTGTGACTGTCTGCATGTGTTTTGATGTGATCTTTCAGAAGTTAAATGCAGCGTTCCTAAAAGGTTTTTATTCGTTTTAGTCAAAGCATTCTTAAACCAAGCTAAGGAAGAATTCAATCAGAAATGGGAAAAACCTGCACAGGTAAAAATATTCGGTGAATCGCGTGGAAGTTTTGTTGATGTGGAACGCGTCATTGGCTATCGTTGAAAGGGACAATTCAGAAGGAATCAGCTTTAGGCAATAATAGTATTTTCCGGTTTCTTAATATCTATTTGACGCTGGTTGAAACAAATTCACTAAGTTTAAACTAACAGAAAGAGCCTCTTTAACAGGGAAACTGTAAAGTTTTCGGCTTAAGCCGCTTAAAAATATATTTATATATGGCTTTAGTTTTTTGTCTTGTGTATATTTTCTGTATAGTCAAACACAACGCCTAATTTGCATTTTGATTTTTGCAGAACACAGCTTGTCTTGATGATTTTGAACGACTTAAAACCCTCGGGACGGGCTCTTTTGGTCGGGTAATGCTTGTTCAACGTAAAAAGTCAGGAACATTTTATGCAATAAAGATTTTGGACAAACAAAAGGTAACTTAAGAAATTTGAATAGCTGGAAATGTTGAATTTAAATTTTTCCTTGTATACAACACCGTCTGGCCGCACTATTGTTTCCGTTCGCAGGAGACCTCCAACCTTGAGTATCCTAGGCTATTCTACGACATGGAAAGCTGTAAACAAAACAGCGTCCGCTTTTGAAAGACTCTAAAATCGTTGTGGTTACTTGCAAAACATATGTTTACATGTTGTACATTGCAAACGTATTCAAAATAACACGGCTCAAATTGCCCATGAATGCATTGTATTTTCAACACAAGCAATAATTGCTTTATAGATTTAACAGACACGGCTTTTTTAGGAAGACATATTAAGACAAGAAATTATAGAATGTTCTACTTCAGCCCAGACAGAATTGATGAACTTGAAACCAACGGGCAAAACAGTTCCTCGCAGTCAAAACAGATAACATAAGGAAGATTGTTTCTTTATTTGATAAATTAATGAAGCACTCCTCGAGATACATATTAAATCTACTCGGTGAAATATTAACTCTATTTTTAATATTCTGTTATAAAGGTTGTAAAGCTAAAACAAGTGGAGCATACTCTGAATGAAAAACGGATCTTGCAAGCTATCAGTTTTCCTTTCCTAGTAAATCTTGAGTGGAATTTCAAGGTTGGTTGAACATTGACTGGCCAAATTAATGGGTTGAGTATTTTCGTTTTACCTATATATCACTCATGAAAAATTCTTGTAGGAATTCCTATAAGGATCCAAATTTCCTATTGGAATCCCTGTAGGAAGTTTTGATTCCTTTTGAAATTGGATTCCAAAAGGAGTCCGAAATTCCTATATGATATCCTAAACAAATTCCTATGGGAATATTAGATATTCGGGTTTTCTTAGAGTGCATTTATATGGAAGTAAGCCAGCCTGGGCCCCCAAGTTAGCACTAGCCTGAAATGACTATAGAATAGACCTCTTTCGTGATCAGCCCTCTTTCATGATCAGCCCTCTTTCATGATCAGCCTGCCCTTCAACATGGCAAATGCCATCAATGATGCAGCCAAAAGTGAAATTATCAACAGCAATTTTTTGCTTATGGATATTTTGTGGGCACTATCTTCTTCGAGGGGCATTTCACTAAAAAAATCCCGTACACTTTGTAAAAAAATCAGGGTAAAATTCTGAAAACAAATTAAGAGAAAAAACCCCGGAAAAGTCTACAAAATTTTGGAAAATCAACAAAAAAATATGGAAAAGTTCTAAAAATCCATTATAATTTAATTCAAAAATCCACAAAAACTCCATCAAATATCTGTTGAAAAAGCTATGGATTTTGAAAATCAAAAAAATCTCGTACACTTTTAATTCGATTTATTCTTTCAAAAACTTTGCTATGTTTATGAACAGTTGGGTATTTATTAAGACATTCCAATTACTATCCCGATTTCTATTCTAGATTTAAATTGAACCCTCCAAATGTTTCAGAAAGACTGGCTTATCATTAAGAGAATCAGTTTAATTAATTAAAATGGAAACTTTTTCATTAATTAAAAATGGATGTGTGTTTACCACCAGTATAATTTAGCACTGTCAATGAAGAAAATGAGTGAAGTAGTCATCTTTTAATAAGAAAATTTAACAAAACTATTTTAAAGTTGGTAACAAAATTCCAACACTTGAGGCAGAATAGAACATTTTGAAAAATGGAATGATTGATTGGAAGTCTGGTTTATTAACCCTTTGAGTACCAGCACTCTCCCTTGACAAGTAAAATTGTCTGGCATTAGACAGATTGGGACCGAGGGAAAATTATGTGATTGGTAGCAGCAACTATGTGACTGGTCAAAAAACCTCTGGCTCCAGCAGAAAATTTCCAGCTCTGTCAAATTAGTGAAAATTTGAAATTTAATAAAAATTTCACGTTTCAAAGTGGAAGCACTATCTTTGTTTTTGATTTTAACACTTCGCAAGAACATTTCGTACTATGTTTGTGGTAAGCCTACGCAGTATCAATGCGAGTATTTAATTTTTCGTCGATGTATTCAGGGGTGTTTTTTCCGATGTCCGACAGTAGTTTGCAGCACAAATAAGTGCTGCTGGAGTTTTGCCGGAGTTGAACAAACTAAAGCTCCGGCAAAATAGGCCAAAACTCCAGCGCACAGCACTATCACATGACTACAATAAAATTTCTTTCAGAAGCAAGTGTTTGCACTGAAACAGTAAGGCCAAAAAAATATGTGGGTTTCCGGTTTCTTCTTATAAAAACTTACGTAGGGTAGGTCGGTTTTAACTTTTTTTTTAAACTTCTTTTTAATTAAATTTTCCTAACAACCGGACGCCATTTTGTTTAGTCAGTGCTTCCACATCCAAAGATAAATTTCCCTAATATTGCCTCAAATTTCAATTTTCCACAAACTTTTTCCTCTAAGTGGAAACACTTACAAGCATGATCCAATAAAAAAGTTTAGGGTTGGGATTTCGACGTCCAAAAGCTAGGTAGGGTCGGGAAACCGGAAACCCACATATTTTTTTTTTGGCCTAAGGAACATATAAAGAAATGTTTAGCTATTTTATGTCACATGCATACTGTACATGCCAAGTTTCATCATGCATGCATGCAGGCATGAATAACATTTAGGATGTGTTAGCCATTTTAATACATCAGTGATTAGTGAATGATTTCCCAGACCTTGGAAAACAGATTGTTGTTATAAAGAAATAAAGCCAAACATAAAATTTTAATGCAATGAGTAGCAGCACTCTCCCCTTGACAAGTAGCCTGCATGGCAGGCGGTCTAAAATACCGCCTGCTGGGTTTGGCAGTGTAATTTGATAACCGCCCACTTTTTTGTCCGAGTCCAATTAGCCAATCAGCAAACACTAGATATATTTATAATCAAACTGTCAAACTATGTTGTTGTTTGGTCGCAAAATTGCAAATGTATAAAAATATGTCGACAAGAGGTAGAAAAGCAAGCGCGGAAAATGTAAATGACTTGTCGTTTGTTTAAGTGTGCTTTGAAATTAAAATACGGGGCAATACGCCAATAGAGAAAATATCTTATATTCGTATATATCGTTGGAGAAATTATTTATTTAAGGCAAGCAAAAGAAACGTTACGACAGTGGTAAAACCTTGGCCGAAATAAGCCGAATTGCCGGTTCAGTTCATTTAGGAATCGAAGTTAATTCTACCTCGGAACTATCCGACCAAGTTTGTAAACCGTGTGAGCGAAATATCCAAAATGCAAGCGAACTGATTGCCATAATCAAACGAGACATAAACGCGTTGCCTGTGTACGTTCGAACAAATAGACATGCAGTTGTATATTAAAAACCTCAGTTGCCAATATGAACTGTCTCGTGTCCCTAACGATGCCGTGTGGTAACGAAAGCCTTAAAAAGTTCAGAAAGTGAAGCGGCTATTAATAGGCATAGGCGTAATAGTCCTGTTATAAAACCTGTTGCAAGAAAGACTATACGGCCGTCTGTATCTATTCTCGTTATATTTTCTCGCGCCAACAAGAACGATGTAAAAATCAAGCTTTTCACATAGAATGGCCAAAACATTCTTTCCAAGGAGTAAATCTTTAACTGCTATCTCTTGCTCGCGTTTGACAATCAGTTCACGTTTCGACTTTGGAGAAGCGTTCAGTTTTACAACACCTATTAATTAAATTGAATGCATGCATCATTAAAGTGTCAAACGTATGTTTACATATTAAAGTGCATTCACTTTTGAGTGACAGCGGCTCAGACTCGCAGCCAATCATCAATGGGAATTCGATTACATTGCCAAACCCAGCAGGCGGTATTTCCCAGGCTTGCCCAATTTTAGGAACAGCCTGCCATGCAGGCTACTTGACAAGTAAAATCGTGCAGCATTAGACAGTAAAATAGTAGAGCGCATTGGGGCACAATAGGGCCATTTACAGGGTCTTAGCTAAAGCCGTGTTGGCCATGTTATCGCGGCCAAAAATGTAAAAACACGGCTAGATGAAATGAACGCGGCTTCATTATTTAGTTTTGGCTGTGCATGTAGGTTCATAAAATAAGATGTTGCTACTTACAACATACAGAATTTCTTTGTAAAATCTACTGTAGTTGTTGAAATTGGTAAAAGTGATCCGTGATGTTTTAATGTTTTCATGGATAATGGGCACCGTAGTGTTGTTAAAATGGTTTTAAATGCCCCATGAGTTGCTAAAATACTGTAATTTATTATAATGTCAGTGCGAAATATGAGCGTATGCTCGCCTTGTATTTGGTTGAAAAGCATAGAACAACCACAGGTATAGTCTGTTGTTGACAAGCATAACTGGAGCGTGTTTTTGGCTATTCAAGGCAATTGACATGGGCACACCCTGGAAATTTAGAAACACGCCCTGGAAATTTAGAAACACGCCCAAACTATAAAATGCTAGCTAAGACCCTGGCCATTTATACGAGCAAAAATAAGCCGCAGCCTAAATAAGCCGCAGCCTAAATAAGCCGCAGCCTAAATAAGCCGCTGCTTAAATAAGTTGCGAACAATTCGTATAAACAGTCAATTTGCAATAAGCTGCGGCTAAAATAAGCCCAGGCTTGAAAGCTAGGCCTAAATAAGCCGCAGCTTATTGGAAATTGACTGTTTATACGAGTTGTTCGCGACTTATTTAAGCCGCGGCTTATTTAGGCTGCAACTTATTTTTGCTTGTATAAATGGCCCTAATGTAACTTAATGGGTTAAACAGCAACATTTTATAAAAATAGGTACGCAGTACGTACATGTTGCATGCCATCTGAAACTTCTGATTTGAAACCTTTATATGATGCACTAGCGCTCATAATTTTTGGTACAACTAGCCTGAAACTGAAATATTAATTGATTCAATAAATTTAATATCAATATATTTGTTGAAAAATAGCTATTATGTCAAAATAAGAAAAATTAAGATTCTCATGCGAATAGGCAATGTTTTTTTATGAGCGACCGTTCATCCTTAGTTGCAAGCGATGTCCAGTAATAACAAGGTCAAGGTTTTATTGAAGCGATTGACTGTTACATTTCCTTTACAAATTTACAACTAAATAATGTTATTTCCTACAAATTTAGCTTTATTGTAAGTAGCTTTTTGAATGTATAAAAACCTGTGGAAATTTAGAATTACTATAATAGATTGAAAATAATTATTAAACTACGATTATTTGATCGAAGTAGATCAGTAGATTGCTATTTCGTTGTATTAATGAGAATTCTGTTTGATATTTACATTTCATGTTATTTACAAAATGTACTGTACTCTGTATAGTTTTGAAGTTTTAAAAAGCACACAATATAATCAATGTGAGCATATTGACTCCGTTTCAGTTTGAGTGTATAAAAATTGAGTATTTTGAGGTAAAATTTCGGCGAACAATCAATATTTTCTTTGTGTTTCCTTGAAGAAAACCATGGATGAAAACGTGCATGAGTGATTCACATCACATAAAAATACTCGTCAGAATAAACTCAGTATTTGTCATATTTTACGAATCTGCCACGTGATTTACAATCACTGGTATGCTTGCGATGAAATGAAATTTAGAGCTATATGAATGAAAGTTGCATGCCATATATGGCATGGGCATGCAACAAAAATTATTTATTTAGTACATATAGTGATATCTAACGTTTTATCTTCATCACTGAAAGTCCTTACTGTACATAGTGAAGCGTCTGATTTAATTTCACCTTATACAGGCATGCATTTCTTTCAAATTAAAAGTCAGTTAACAAAGATTGCTTGTGCCATATCTGCCTTCCCACATATAAACATTTAACATCCACTTTGTTGCTAAGCATATGCAGAGGATCTCTAATTTCTTTCAAGTAAAGGGTTGCATTCCCACTGAGGTCGCACTTAGTTTACAAATGCATGTGTTAAAGGCTGCAGAGCCTTGTACTGTATGTCAGCTAGTGAAACAATCCAACACCTTCATACACCTGCCTTAGAACCCTGCATGGGGCTCCAATTCTTCATAAATAGAAAAAGAACCCATCGCATACTGTCATGCGTCTATATGATCATTCTGAAACTGGTCACCCTATATCTAATCTTTCATTTATATTGAAACTTACCGAACGTGCAGTTTTCAACCAAAGTAACAATTTCCTAAATGTATATAAGTTGTATCCACAAGCTCAATCAGCATATTGCGAATTTCACAGCACGGAAACTGCTTTACTATACGTGTAAAAAATAACATGAACTGTCAACATGTCACGTTATTGGTAATGCTAGATCTTAGTTCTGCATTCCACACTATTCACTGAAGTTAATGATGGTAAAACAGAATTTTTAATTATTGATACAAGACAACAGCCGGCGGAAGTCAATTTTATATATAGTTCCTTGCGAGTTGGTAATACCTTCATTAACTCAACTGACAAGGCAATTAAAAAACGAGGGATTCTGGTTTGACCCTCAAATGGAATTGGAAACTAATATTAGCAAGTGTTCCAAAGCAGCATTTTCCCACTTATTCGATCAGATGGATTAGAATGTTCCTTATCTATGAAACTGCGCTAAAACATTGGTCAATTCGTTGGTGATTAGTCAGTTAGACTATTGCAAATAGAATTCTTTATGGTTTACCAACAATTCATCTCAATAAGCTTCAGTGTGTTCAAAATGCTGCTGCGAGACTGATATGCAATACCCCACGGTTTAATCATATAACCCCAACTCTACATGATCTACATTGGCTGCCAGTTAAGTTTCGAATAGATTTGAAAGTGTTACTAATAGTTTTTAAAGCATTGCATATGGCCTTGCACCGGACTACATAATTGACCTTATCACCATTAAACCTCCATCGTGTTACAATATTAGATCGAACCAGGAACTTTTACTTCAACCATCTCCTGTGAATACCCTGGCCACGTTGGGTGATCGCTCATTTGTTTCTGCAGCACCTGCCCTCTGGAACTCCCTATCTTTACACATCCGGCTAGCAAGTACGGTTGACTGTTTTAAAAGACGATTAAAGACATACATTTTTATGTAGCTAGCCTATATGTAAATACACTGATTCTTAGTTTAGGATAGTCAAAATTGTAGCATTGCTGTACATAGTTTTTTTTAATGAACTTTTGATATATCTATTGTATTTTTATCAACATCGATTGCTATGCGCTTGTGAACATTTACTAATGGAACTTGTGCAGTATAAGTACTATTGACAACATGAGCAACCGTGTTGTATCGGATATACAAACTCGAGCCGAAGGCAAGAGAAGCTTCTTCGAAATGTTGAAGTTTTGCTTGTATTTTTCACGTAGTTGAATCCATCTGCATTTCACTCGTGCTTTTATTCTAGTGAATTCAAAAGCTATCACGTGACAAATAAAACCAATCAGATGGATTTAGTACAAACAAAGTGTAAACAAAAAATGTAAATCACATTACAGAATATATTAATTCAATTATAATATGAGACAAGTATGAAATAAGATGAGAATTTAGAGTACTGTCAATGTTAAAGTACTGTTGGTGAGCAACGGCGTCCAGTCATTGGCAACGATGCTCACCAGCCTGTTGCATATAGACATTTTAATAGTGGCAATCACGGTGTTTCAGATGTGAAAACTCGGGCTCTCTGTCCCATTTCTGGAAGTAGTGATAGCCACAAAAGACATGGAATACGCCTCATTTGCAAACTTGGCACTGTCCACCCCTGTATAGTATTAATGAATTTTTTTTAAGCTCTGTCTTTGCCTGTCATAAGCAGACATTGACAGTATTTTAAATTCTTACCTTATTCCATACTTGTTTCATATATTATTTGTATTTGGTGTAGTTTTCTGCATATTTGTATTAATATATTCTGTAATGTGATTTACTTTTTTTGTTTACACTTTGTTTTGACTAAATCATCTGATTGGTTTATTCTTTGTCACGTGATCGCTTTTATTTTCACTAATATAAAAGCTCGTGTATTTTCCCAAGTCCCACTATTAACTTCCCGACTAAGAGCCTTTTTATGATGGGCTTTAAATTAATACATGCCGAATTTAGTTTTTTACCTCCAATATGAGGGACAAAATTTTGTAGTTGCTGATACAAAATGTTAATCAGTCCTGATGAAACATATGTTCCTTATGGTTTCAGTGCGAATATTTGCTTCTAAAAGACGTACAGAGATGACTCGGTTAAATCTGCTGTTTTATTTTACTAAAGCCTGTAAAAGATCAGATGTAAACAATTTAGGCAGAAAGCTTCAGTAACTACACTGGTGCAGTAACATTGAATTGAATAATGTCAGAATATAATAAATGCAATATATGATAATTCCAATGTTAGTAACCAGTATGGCATCATTATTTGAAACTTCTAATTTGTTTGCATATTTGTGAGACAACTGTTGCATATTAGGCAGCATAGCAGTAATATTTCACACGGCCATTAAGCATGGCATACGACATTCTTGACTCGTTTGGTGTAGGTGATGGACGAGTAGCACACTTTCCACTCGAAAACCGTGATTGCTTGGATGTGACTACGCATTGCCAATTTCTCTGGCCATGAATATGATGAGCCGATGTTTCATTTTCAACACTCCATCCCAGTTTTCTTGCCAAATTAGAAGGGTTAACTTCCAATTGTGGGGGAGGTGTGGATGTTTCCTGGACTGATCCCATTAGGATCGTAATTCTGATCGGAATTTGGGCCAAGTTCGCATTGAATCGATTTTTTCTTTTGGAGGTTCAATGTATTCCAAATGGAAAATTTACTTTCTCGGTATTGGAATTCCAAATGGTTCTAGTTGGAATTTTGCAAAAAGTTCCTATTGGAATTCCAATTGGATTTTTTGTGAGAATATGACAGTCATGCGTAGCTTTATTAAAAAGAGCATTTAACACTCTTGCCAGGTAGGCAAGCCTGGCCAGTTAATTGCTTTTTGACAGCAAATACCTAGCTCAATAAAAAATTGCATTGCTATTTGTGTAACAGTGCCTTATAGGAATCAATCCTGATCTTGAATTGTAACATGTTGTCAAATGACCAGATTTTATCAGGCAATCCGATATGAATGCTTGAAAGTCCAGATATTAAACATTAAACGCATGTGTAAAGTACAATTTTATCAGAGCAACAGCCTAAACAAAATAATGTGGTTTGAATGCACATAACCGTGATAACGTACTGCATTAATTTAAATGTCTACCTACACTGTAGTTAGTTGTAAAATGGGTAATAGGTTTAAGTGAATTTTAAATATTTTCTGACAAAATGTACTAATGACGAAATCGAACTTTGTGTCATGCAATTTTCATCTGAAATCTAATTGTGATTTTTCATATCCGCTCTCGCTTTGAGGTTGTGCAAGTTTCTAATCATATCTTTATTTAATTTAGACCAAATTGTACTCTACTCAATTCAATATTTCCCGTTACTGATTTCAACAATATTTTCATACATAGGATAATTCTTATCTCTATATGGTATTGGAGTTTGTTCCTGGTGGTGAGATGTTTTCTCATTTAAGACGTATTGGAAGATTCAGGTTGGCGGAATTCGTAGTTGCTTTTTCTATAATGTAGCTTTTCGAAGGCAGATGTATATTTCATGATTATTAATACTGTATCAACCAAGACTATTTTTCTTTTCAGTGAAGCACATTCAAGGTTTTATGCTTCTCAAATAGTTCTTGCATTTGAGTATCTCCATTCATTAGATCTTATTTACAGGTAAGTTGGAACATGTGCCAATTTAATTATTATCGCCTTATTGTAGGAAATGTATTTGCAAAACAACCCATAATTGGTTGCATTAAAAAACATGTACAATACAGCCCCCAAAAGAGTAGTCATCAACCATTGCATACTTATGGCGGTTACAACGGTATTGATAATTAGAGTAGCAGCCCCCGCCCCTGAAAATATGGAATTAACATCCGACTATCAACCTGAATGATCCTTTGATGCAACTTTGTTTTTATTTCAGAGATTTAAAACCTGAAAACCTTCTTATTGATCAGCAAGGATACTTAAAGGTATGAATGTATATAATTATAATCCTGCATATATTCTTTGCAATGCCAGCAGTACCACGCGAATTAACATGCGAGTTGGCTTTCCCATTTTGTAACAGATCACTGATTTTGGATTTGCAAAACGAGTGAAAGGACGAACATGGACATTGTGTGGCACTCCAGAGTACTTAGCACCAGAAATCATTCTATCAAAGGTAATAAATTCTAGTATAATTACAGTATGACCTATATTAAAAAGTGACTGGCGCGTGTGATTTTATTTGATGATTGTCTATTTATTTGGCAATTATTTAACAAGGGTTCTACTACTTTAGGGATACAACAAAGCAGTAGATTGGTGGGCATTGGGTGTGTTAATCTATGAAATGGCAGCTGGTTACCCACCGTTCTTTGCCGACCAACCAATTCAGATTTATGAGAAGATTGTTTCAGGAAAGGTACTTATTTTTATCCACTGCTTATACGATGTCTAAAAGATGACGATGATTACTTTTTATCTCACTGTTTATTTATTGTGATGTTGGGCAGTGGACGGGAGTCCAAAATTCGAATCTGTTCCACACAGCAAATGCCTTTTAAAAATTTCTATTAAATATTTTCCTCAGAGTCTGAAATAACGGTAAAAAAATTGTCAGGAAAATATTTGGCACTGCCAGATGCCGACGTACCTGAGTATTTGTGTACGATTCTTATTCTGGGTATGAAAATTACTGCTCATGGCATTATTGCGCTTCATTAAGTTTATTGTGAAATTTGAAATACAACCACTTTACACGTGGTTCTTCGATGAGATACGCCAGAATATGAGTCGTACGACAAATTGCAGCGTGCAAACGTACCTTTCATAGATTCTTACAAATAGAGGAAGTACAATCTCGTTCCCCGAGCCTGCGATCCTTGGGAAGGAAACGAAGGCTCTGGGATAATCCGTTGCCGGAAGCCAGGAATTGTGGCTAAGATTGAACTACGCATTCCATTTCAACGGCCAATCAGATTCCTCCCTGAAACGGATTATCCCAGAGCCTCGCGTTCCTTCCCGAGGATCGCAGGCTCGGGGAACGAGATTGGAGGAAGTATTGCTTTAATGCTAGTATTTGAGTTTTGTTTACCTAATTTGTTTAAATATAATTTGCAAATCGTTCAGGTCCGGTTCCCATCTCATTTTACCTCGGAATTAAAAGATCTTCTGAAGAACTTGCTTCAAGTGGATTTGACGAAACGTTATGGTAATTTAAAGAATGGGGTAAATGATATAAGAAATCACCGATGGTTTGGTCCGACTGATTGGATTTTGATTTATCAGAAGAAGGTAATTTATGTAGTACCAAATACTGTCCTATATTCGTACCAAAACAGTCAAACGAGTCCGTGATATTCTCTTACTACTCGTCCCCTGAGTCACGGAATAAGACATACAGAAGTGTAACTTCCATTACAAAACCGTAAGGCGCTTTTTTACCGAAATAGCTGGCGGCCATGTTCTTAGCAAATGCCCTAAAGAGAGGCATTCACCCCCCTGGAATATTAAATTTTCAATATGTTTTCAGGGGGGTGACTGCCTCTCTTTAGGGCACTTGCTAAGAACATGGCGGACTGAAAAAATCCCTTACGCACTTTTAATAAGAAGATAACTTCTGTATGTCTTTATTCTGTGCCTGAGTCTTTCATTATGTTTTCAATCCACGTTCAAAATGTTTCTTGATAAAGGTGGAAGCTCCGTTCAAGCCGAAATGCAAAGGTCCTGGTGATCCGAGTAATTTTGACGACTATGAAGAAGAACAATTAAGATTGTCAACAACGGAAAAATGCGCAAAAGAATTTGCCGACTTTTAAAGAAGAACTTCCTTCAAACGACAACTGCGCCGTAGTCTGTGACTATACATACGCGTTTTTTGGAGGGACACAAACCAGACTCGTGCGTCTCTATTCAAACGACTTTTAATGATTTTAGTCCGAAATTTAACGAAACATTGGTTCATTATTTATTAAAATCCGAAAGTTTTAAGTATATAGAGAAATGAGGAAGTTTTATTTGTACGAACTTTTAAAACATGGTCTGTAAATTATTGTTATAGGATACAGTTATGCGTATCTCGTTGACCGAAATCGTACAGAAAGATAGTATTATATGACGCAGTTACTGTGAAATAAAAGTTATCTCTAATATCCGGGTCTATAATTGTAAATACTCTGCTGTATTTTGAGTGTGATGTATTGAAATTTGAAGGAAGTAGCGATATGGTCGCATGCGTGTTGAACATTTTTCACAGAAAACAAAAGTTCGACCACTTACACTAAATGACGGATAACCGTATCGACACTGAATCCAAAGACGAGGTTGACTGAAATTAGACATGAAGACTGTCATGGCCACGGACGTTTCAATACCAGGAAAACTTAATGGGGTACAGGGTAATTTACATAATCAAAATGACTCTTCCACACTTCCTAAAATGAAATGTGAAATGGTTCATGGGATGAACTTCAACCTCGGCACTTTGTTATCCTTGCTCAAGGCTCCTAATTGACCTTGGTCCTTCCAGCCTTTGCTGCGCGGAGCCCAACGAAGTTACGCCACTGCCACTTGAGGCTCGGCGACCAAAAACAATGTTTTATATTCAAGGGCGTGTTCGTATGAGCCGGGCTTGCTTCGCTGGGCCAAGTTGTTATTTGTTGAAGTGTGCTAGCTCAAAATTCCCGCGCGATATTTGGCGAGATTTGTTTTATTGACGGAACTGCTTCAGTCTTAATTTGTTTTGTGATGTATTTTACCCAGGGTAGAAAATTTGTTTGAAGTTCAGGCACACAGGTTCAGGCGACTGATGTGTTTGTGATTCCTTACTTGTTTTGAATTATTAGATGCTTTCTAGATGGAATAAAGCGTGCGTTGTGACAATTCATATGAGCCTGAGAAAGTGAGATCTCGCCTTGCTGAAGTGGAGCCCAGCAAACCAGACTGGCTGTTTCCCATGAAGGGGAGATCTCGCCACTTGCGAGTCAGCCTTGTCTCCTTGTTGCTCCAAACCTCGCTAACGAACGTCGTCTGGTGAACTGAGCTGCACCTTCCATTCCCTCGAATCGACCTCACGTGACCATAGCCCAAAAATGCGTGGTGAAAATTTTTACCCTCGCGTAGCGGTGGGGCGTGCATCGTTATTCATAAATCTGGTCGTATTGTATTTTTGCCCAACTAACCAACAGCAATGTCTTAGGAAAGTTACCTATCCGTGACTCGAACAATAGGGTAAGTTGAAAATTGCTATTGGTGGATTTGGGAAGAACACAATACACACGTGACGGTGAACGACCAATTATCAAATGGGCAAAAAATACCAAAACCTACCCGCCCTGCCCCCGCAAGCCAGTCGACGAGATCATCAACAATAGCATCTTTACTCTAAGACAAAGGTGACTATAATTTTCACGGCTCATGACCTTGCCAACAGACTAAAACCATAGTTGATAGTTTGGAAACTCATTAGAATAACAACATAAGTCATTATTTATGTTAGTCAACGTTTATGAATAAACGTTGACTAACATAAATAATGACTTACGTTGTTATTCTAATGAGTTTCCAAACCATCTATTCTGATCTATTAACTATGGTTTTAGTCTGTTGGCAAGGTCATGAGCCGTGAAAATGATGCAAATTATAGTCACCTTTATCTTAGAGTAAAGATGCTATTGTTGATGATCTCGTCGAATGGCTTGCGGGGGCTGGGCGGGTAGGTTTTGGTAATTTTTTCCCATTTGATAATTTTTTTGTCACCTGATCTGGTAATTGCCCCTGAAAAAACCTGGTCACACTGAATGAAATGTGCAGCTCATTTCAGCAGACGTTCGTTAGCGAGTGTTGGAGCAATTATAAAAACGTCTGGGAAGGACTAGGAAACAATATATGAAAAGATATAAGGAAACAATATATGAAAAGATATGAGATATTATAACTTGGTTGCGACAATTCAAGATTTTTAGTCGAACCTGACTGGTACGTCAATGGTTGCTGCGTACTTGCGCCAGTGCAAACTCAGTACTCAATGTGTACTTAATCTTTAAAATAAGGTTCATAAAGTACACTCGGGTTTCTGAAAAGTATGACTACGAGGTAGAAAAAGAAGCGCAATTGCATATACAAACAATAGACAATTCCCATTATAGACTAATTTTAAAACTAGGCAAGGAGATGAATCACCAAATAAATCACCACAGCTAGAAAGAGCATACTAAAATTAGTAAAATTACAAAATTTGGTTGCGAAATGTTGTAAAATGTGGAAAATATAGCCTTGCAAAGTTTGCAAATTTTGTATACTTTTGTATTGCGTGCGACCATTTTCGGCGTAAATGTGGTAGGAATCATAGAGATTATAAATAACACTAGAGGAGGCATCGAGTTTAAAAATTGGGAACGCAGCTAATGGGGGGCAAATTCAAGTCCCGGATATAAAATCGTGCTCTCATTGGCTGATTTGAAACTCGTCACCAATGGGAACACGAATACACATCCGGGACTTGAATTTGCCCCCCAATAGTCGCGTTCCTTTTTTTTTACTGAATTAAGATTACAATGCCTCCTCTAGTGTTATTTATAATCTCTATGGTAGGAATGTGGTAGGAATTTCCGCAAGCAATACAAAAGTATACAAAATTTGCAAACTTTGCAAGGCTATATTTTCCTCATTTTACAACAATTTGCAACTAAACTTTGTAACTTTACTAATTTTAGTATGCTCTTTCTAGCTGTGGTGATTTATTTGAGTTTCCTTGCCTAATTTTAAAATTAGTCTATAATGGGAATTGTCTATTGACTCCAACGTTTGTTAGTGCTATATCAGTCCCAGGGGCGGCGCTACAAGGGGGTGTGGGGGGTGGAACACCCCC